AGATGTAGGCATCTGAGAAGCATATAAGTGCAGTGTCGACACAGCAACACTTAAAGGAACAGAAAGATGTAGTCTATTGCGATAAGAGTATTTATACTAAGTCTGATGTAAAACTATGGTTAATCTGCGATTGATCAATTTTAGGTTGTTATATAATATGGAAGGATCTCGAATTTGGGAGAACAGATGAATTTAGGGGAAGAGCACCATATCTAGAATACTTAATTTTAAGGTCGCCAGTTATTCTTAAAGCAGCTATTGTATTTGTTATATCTTATATATATATATATTTATTACATACACACACACACACACATATATATATATATATATGTGTGTGTGTGTATGTAATAAATTCAGGAGCAATGACCAGGAGAAGGAATTTGGATGGTGTAGAAGTGTTGATCCATAATGACTAGGAAATTGAAGACGAAGGCAGATTAAATCTTCAGTTTTATTTTCAGCGCAACATGTTGCGGCTACACACAAGTTGACACATTAAATGTGCCTGTTCCAAAAGGCTTACATTTTTTTATTACTTTGTAGCAAGAAAGCAGCAGCGGACAGACAGCAGTCTAGCTATAGCTAGGCAAAAGCATGGAAAGAAAGTGCATAATGTTCGTACTAAAGCTTCAAAGTAATAAAAACAATAAGTTATTTTGTAGCAGATTATTGAATATATTATCACCTTTGAAATAAAGTAGTTAAGTTAGAATTCTATTGAAATGAATTTACTCATTAGCATAGTTAAAATTGAATTATGAAAATGGAATAATTAAAAATTAAAGTGCAACCAAGAAACTAAGTAACCATCGCCATTGACTGGAAATTAGTTGGCTTTTCAAAGGCAACAAACTAATTTCTGACCAATTAAAAATAATTAATAGATGTGAAAGTGTTTTTATCTTTTTCTCAAGTAAGAATCAAGCCTAAAAAAGCTGTTTAGTAAGAATGAGTTAAAATTAGTCAAATTGCTAATTAAGAAGCAGTAAGAAATTAGTGGTTCTGTCCAACTTGTAACAGAAAGAAACTGGCGATGTTTGTTGAAAGTGTCGGGGAGCAAGTTTCTCAAATAAACAGAAAAGTCAACTAATTTCTGGTTAATGGTAGTAATTACTTAGTTTGTTGGTTACTCTTCAGCTTTTACTTATTCCTTCATTTTACTTTTTAATTATTAATTTAATTATTATTATAATTCAATTTTAATTTGCTAATGAGTAATTTCAATAGAATTTCTAACTTAACTACTTTACTTTCAAATGAGATGAAACATTCAATAATCAACTAGAAAATAAGTTTTATATATATGTAAACATTCTGAAAAATGAATATATATATATACACATTCTGAAAAATGAATATATATACAATTTTAAAAATGAATATATCTATATATATACAGGTAAGATAAAATTATATGAATCAGAATTATAATATAACTAAAAACATTAATTCTTCCTCTCTACTCTAAAATCATAATAACTTCTAGATCACTCTATGGCCCGCGCAACTCTGATTACGTAATAATTAAGAACTGAAACTGTCGTTGTAAACCAAAACTTTTCTCTTCGCGTGCTTCCATCTTTCATAACGACGCACTTCAGCTTTTGCTCTCTACTGTGCTAAGATGTAATTTCGCTGGGTTGCTTTCTATCCCAACAATATCAGAAATGTAAATCTTCTGTGGAAAGGCACGACTAGAGTGCCAAGTGATTGTGGCCACAAATATCAATTGGAAATAAAAATGGAAGTAAAATTGCCTCGACTGCCAAGTTCTTTAAATACTATGCAATCAGATTACTTCCTCTTCAATATAGGATAACTACGCATCTACAGTGCTCCGTCATTTCCTTGTGCTTTTATTATGACAATTAAGCCAGTAGGATAGTTTCCTGCAGCCTGAAACCTCAATGGAAAATTTAATTCAGCTCTTCAAATCATCATTTTGTGATAAATCCAAGATAATGTGAAAGAAGTGAATCATCAAGTTTGTTTTTTCAGTGTTTAAAAAATAACAGATCATTCTTCTGCTGTGGTGTTTTGCAAGTGCTTCAAAAAAAATAATCACGCCTAGTGTTTACAGATTGAAAGTAATATCTCGATAAATTGAGAAGTTTGAATGCCTAGTGAAAAGGAAATCATCAGTGAATTACCGTTTAGGAATTAAGCATTACAGCGGGTTCAAGATCGATCTGAGTTAGTGTTTGCAAGTATGTGCGACAGAAAATTATTTGCACTTCCGCTTTTTCAACAGCTAAAAAATTATTACATTCGTGTGAATCTAGCTCAGGAACTAAATTATTTAATGTGCTGTGGATTCTATAGTTTTCATTTCAACTTTGGTTAAAATTTCTGCAATTTGTTTTGAGAAAATCTGAAATTCTTGTTCATTAATGTTTCTAATTTTTCATAATTATGTGTGAGCAAATTAAGTAACGAATTTAAGCTATTTAATTATTCATAGGAAGGATATTAAGATAAGTTTTTATATTTTTAAAATTTTGTTGAAATTTTGAATACGAATTTTATAATTATTCTAAAAATCAAGTAGATGTAAAAAATAAGTGACATTAGTACAGATAGTATGAAATTATGGTAAATTCATGTTAAAATTTATGAGTGATTGTATGTCAAGTATAAAGTATGATGAGGGAAGTACTGTGTTCCTAAAACAGAGGCCTGTAATTACCTTTGTACAGTTGTTCCTTTTACCCTCTTCAAGTAAGATAATGTTGGAGGCTCTCATTTTATGAGTGTGTGCAATTTTTTTAATTATTATTATTATTATTATACCTTTTTTATTGATGGAATGTATTAGTGCAGTTCTCAAAGTCCAGTTGCCTTATGCAAGGAACAGAGGCCTTTTCAAGTAACTGCCTAGGCACCCTGAGCCACCAGTGCATAGAACACACTGGTTAGCTCAAGAGGACAGCCCTATTGATGGATATGGTTTGTTTAGAAGTATTGCGAGGCCTTCCAGTTGGTAAAATACAGGTATTATAAATGAAAGATGATAACTTTGAAACCATAAATTCTGAAAATCTTAATCCTAGTATTTATGATGTTAAATTATTATTTATCCTTATGGAAATAAGTATCATAAATATTTATGTGCATTACATTTAATTATAAGTAATGATTATGTAAAAGTTTATTTTGTGATATTCTGTAATAACAAGAGCCTTCCCTGAAGAATTATGATTATGTGAATTCTCAAACAAAAGGACTTTTGGACTGAAATGCTGAAAAATTCAATGACTCTAAAAATTAAAAATTTATTTAAAAAAAATTGCTATTTATAAATTATACTTAACAGAAAAAAAAATTTATTATTTATGGTTTCTTTCTTTTTTTTTTCTTTTTTTTACATTTGCTAGTGCTTTAACTCTTTCTCTTTAAAAAGGCTTCTCTGCCGCTACGGGTTTTTCTTTTTGAAGGGGGGGAATATGTAAGATAAAATTATATGAATCAGAATTATAATATAACTAAAAACATTAATTCTTCCTCTCTATTCTAAAATCGTAATAACTTCTCTGCATTGCATCATTTCTAGATCACTCTATGGCCCGCGCAACTCTGATGACGTAATAATTAAGAACTGAAACTGTCGTTGTAAACCAAAACTTTTCTCTTTGCGTGCTTCCATCTTTCATAACGACGCACTTCAGCTTTTGCTCTCTACTGTGCTAAGATGTAATTTCGCTGGCTTGCTTTCTATCCCAACAATATCAAAAATATAAATCTTCCGTGGAAAGGCACGACTAGAGTGCCAAGTGATTGTGGCCACAAATATCAATTGGAAATAAAAATGGAAGTAAAACTGCCTCGACTGCCAAGTTCTTTAAATACTACGCAATCAGATTACTTCCTCTTCAATATAGGATAACTACGCATCTACAGTGCTCCGTCATTTCCTTGTGCTTTTATTATGACATACATATTCTGAAAAATGAATTTACCAGATAATTATAGGGCTTCTTCAAATTTTAAATAAACAGGAAACATGATGGGAATAATGAATCTAATGTTTACAACACATGATTTCCTTGTATGGCCTATTAGATTAATGCATTTTTTTCTGAACTTCATTTAAACTTATTTCCTCAAATTATTTTAACTTCATTCATTGATTTCTGAAAACACATTGTAAATGGCATCAAAAATTGAAAATTTTGTAAATAAATATCCTAGTCAATTTCTGTTGACTGGGAGTCAAACTTCTTATAATTTTATTTTTTCGTAATAAGTATAAAACTTTTGCAAATATAATTAAAAAGTATACAAACTGGGAAATTGCATTAAAAGTTAAATTTCGTTATTTGTGGATTTTTTTTTAGTATGACAAAACATGAATATTTTCATCATTTAAAACACTTCTGCATATGGAAGTATATGACTATGACCAACGATTGTGAAAATAAAGGCTGAGTTACAACTTTAAAGCCAGATAAGGTGTGTATGCTTGACATTGCTGATTGCAATAAAAAAAGGGAGGTGCAAATTAGAGGTTATAGCAGTTTATACACAAAATTTCAACATGCTACATAATTAATTGTTTTTGAATAATGCAAGATACATACATATGACGTTCCATTTTGGATAAAAAGAGTTCTTTATTCTGTACATACAGATTTATTTTATACATACATACAGACATCACGCAAAAAAAAAAAAAAAAAAAAAAAAAAAAAAAAAAAAAAAAAAAAAAATTCATATGGATTCGGGAGTAGTCAAAATGGATATTTCTGTTAAAATATGATACCTGAAATTTTTCACGATTACAATACTTTTTTTACTTCATACAAGGAAGCAAAAATATGTAACTCATTTATACTTATTTTAATGATATGAAAGTGAGATTTTTCTTTCCTCTGTTCTAAAAATATATCAAAATCTCAGTCACTTATCTATGACTTGTAATACAAATGATCTATTTACAAATTATTTAAGCTCATACTGTTAAGAAAGAAAAGAAAAGGAAAGAAAAATGCAAAGCTCACCTTCCTACTATCATGAGTTCCCACACAGTAGCTTCTTTTCGAATTTGTGGCCAAATATCCATTGTAAATAAGGTACTAGCACTATTATATACAGATGTCAAATCACTCATTAATGCAGCTAGCATCACAGCCATCATTAGACCACGCAAACCTAGAAAGAGAAAAACTACATGTTAATTTCCTGAAGTCTTTTGTTGTTTTCATTTCGTTGAGAAACAGAAAATGCTTTCCTAGTAAGTGCTGAAATAATATTTTCACATCAAGTGAAAATTTCAGGTTCTATTTCTTCGAAACAGATCCTGGATTCTTTTTCTTTGAGCATTTGACTACTGGTTTCTTCTATTTGTCTTTAAGCTTTTCTCACGTTCTCAATTTATAAAAATTTGTTTCATACTTTTTTAAACATTCATTTATAACGTGACTCATTTTTTTGCCAAGGCACAACAGCTTAATAGTTGATTCTGTTCTGAGTACTATTTTAACTTAAAAGTCTCACAATGGAGTACTGCAGGGTTGGTTACATTAATTTATGTATTGACTGGCTACCTTCAGGATACTGAAGTTACTCATGGGTGTGTTATGGAGAAATTAAGTGTCTTTCTTTCTTAGAGGCTGAATCAGTTAACAGCATCATATTTAATATTTGTGATAAATAAACCCCACATTACAAATTATATCTTTGATTACCTGAAACTTTTTATCATATACATTTTCTTTTGTCAGTACATCTGTTTCAAGTAGAACAATAATGATGACACTTTTAGATTTTTTTTACAAAGTTGATTCTCAACTTCGTCAATTGCAGTGGCAAACAACATACAGATTCAATTTTAAAAACTAAAATGGGAAAATTAAAATGCATGCCTTGTTGATGTATTAAAATATACCAAAGAAACCATCTGTAATGCTGAAATGTGTTGAATAAACATGATTCAAATTTTACCACTGAAGACAAACGATACTTCAAGACTTCCTGATATTCTGAGATTATGTGTGTGTATGATAATTTTCAAAATTAAGTATAAAACTGAAAACATTTTAACTATGCTGTTTACATAGTATGCTTTTAATGAAATATTAACTACTGGGCCATTTGGAAAGTTCTGCAATTTCATGATAAATACATATAAAGAGTACACAAATGTAAGAAGATTTCTCTGAACCACAGCAGCACCATTTTGTTCTATGACTTTTTGCTATCTCCTTGGGATCTAGAAAATTTATTTTCTTAGAAAGGCATTAGATTTATTCATGAAGGGGTTATTGTGACACTGTTTGACAGTCAACTCCAGGCTGTTCGGAGAATTTTGAAATGACCTCAAAAAATAAAACTAGGAGGGGGCAAACAAAATATCTAGGGAAATTGGGAAAGATGATACAAAACATCACAGCAATATTAAAAAAGTTTGCCTGACATTCATCAAAATGAGAAGCCAAGCATTTATGATGATGAAAGACAACTTAATGACTATCAGTAACAGTAACTGTGGCCAGCTCTAGATGCTTTTTTCAGTTACTGCTTTCAAATGTGCCATTTGGGAACAGTGTTTTCCTGAATTTATTGTCTGACTTGATGAAAACAATATAGTATGCGATTTCTTGTAGTCCTACCATACACAGGGTATTTTTTGGGGGATGCAACTTTTCTTTTGATGTCACCAAAGAAGGTTATTTTGGCTTACTCCATGATATTTCCCCTACACATTTATTGTATAGTATCCACTTTTATCTCCAGTAATGAGCAATTAAAAAAAGGAGCTTCTTTATTTCTTCTCAACAAAGAATCACAAGCCAAAACTCAAGCAAGCATATTCTGCTGCATAAAAGTACGGTGTGCCTTATGCACTGTAGCAGCTCACATTCTTCTTCATGTGATTATCGGATACTAATTCAGAAGTCAAACAACAAAAATCAGCGTTATACCTACAAAATTTTCACAGGACTAGTTTCGATGGTTTTACCGAACCATCATCTTCAGCTGCAAAACCGCAAATGAACAAGATAGGAAATAATGATTAGATAAGATAAGAAAGCCTGGACAAGAATAAGCAAGTGGCGCCATCTGTTGGCGAAACCAGAACTAAAACATAATTTTTCTAAAAGCCGAAGGCAAATTTGGATTGGAATTAGGATCGTTAACTAGAACAGAAAGATTTTTATGAATGTGAAATGCCTCTAGAAAATCCAGTTCTCCAATGGAAGATGTTTTTTGAATAATTTTGGCAGCAGAAAAATTGAAAGTGTGATTTTCGGACCAACAATGTTGAGCAACAGAAGACCTCTGTGTTTCCTTTTTTCTAACATATGCCTCATGTTCTTTGACGCGAAATTTTAAGGCTCTCTTAGTTTGGCCAATGTAAATTAAACCACACTGGCAAGGAATCCTATAAATACCCCAGAAATTCATATCCGGAATGGGGTTCTTGAGTATAGAAGTTGGAATTTTATTGATGGGAGTAAAAACAACCCAAAAGTTAAATTTCTGCGAAATATGTGCAACTTTATAGCTAATGGATGGAAAGAAGGAATGACAACAGAATTTTATAATCTCCTAAAATTAAGAGTGTGGCTTTTAGTGTGTTGAGATGAGAATTTTTAACTGCTTGATTAATAATGTTGGGTGAAAAGCCCCTGTCAATAGCTATTGCTTTTAAATAATTTAGTTCTTCATCAAGGGACTAGTTTGGAAGGAGCAAACTTGAAGTGCACGGAAAACATAGGAATAAAATGAAGCTAACGTTTTGCTTAGTTCGGATGACATGATTTGAAGTGTGGTGGAAGGCAAACCGATGAAGGTTACGGTAAACTGTAGTACTGAAGCTGGATGTGTTACGTGTGACCAGAATGTCGAGAAACGGAAGAGAATTGAAAGTCTCAAGTTCAAAAGTGAAACTGAATAGCAGGATCAATAGAATTCATTGTTGAAAGAACTTTATTTAAATCATCTTTATTACCTTCAAACAGTGTAAAAGTATCGTCTACATAGCGGAACCACATGCCAGGAAGATTAAAGTTTCAAACAATTTTGATTCATAACAATGCGTGTAGATATCAGCCAGGATGGGACTAAGGGGGACTTCCCATGGCTAATCACTCAGTTTGCTTGTAATATTTATTTTTGGAAAACAAAATGCATTTGTTTCAAACAGAGTTGAGCGAGAGAAATTAGCTCATCAATTTCAAAGCAAGAGAAATGAAATTTACGAAGTCTGGTTTCTACATCTTAATACACCCTCCACTGGGGACATTGGGAATAATGATTTTACATTATTCAGATTATATGCTCTTCCCAAAATTCATAAAAGTGGTATTCCTTTCCGCCCTATTGTATCAAATTTAGGTACTGCCTCGTATCCTTTAGCTAAATATTTAGTTTCTAGATTTTCCACTCTATTAGACAATAACATTTACACCATAAAAAATTCAATAGAGTTTGTAAAAAAGGTTAAAAACATTTCTCCTAGTAATTTACTCATGGTTTCTTTTGATGTAAAATCATTATTCACCAATGTCCCAGTGGAGGGTGCATTAAGATGTCTAGAAACCAGACTTCGCGAATTTCATTTCTCTTGCATCGAAATTGATGAGCTAATTTCTCTCACTCAACTCTGTTTGAAACAAACACATTTTGTTTTCCAAAATAAATATTACAAGCAAACTGAGGGATTAGCCATGGGAAGTCCCCTCAGTCCCATCCTGGCTGATATCTACATGCATTATTATGAATCAAAATTGTTTGAAACTTTAAACTTCCCGGCATGGTTCCGCTACGTAGACGATACTTTTACCCTGTTTGAAGGTAATAAAGATGATTTAAATAAAGTTCTTTCAACAATGAATTCTATTGATCCTGCTATTCAGTTCACTTTTGAACTTGAGACTTGCAATTCTCTTCCGTTTCTCGACATTCTGGTCACACGTAACACATCCAACTTCAGTACTACAGTTTACCGTAAACCTTCATCGGTTTGCCTTCCACCACACTTTAAATCATGTCATCCGACTAAACAAAAGTTAGCTTCATTTTATTCCTATGTTTTCCGTGCTCTTCAAGTTTGCTCCTCCAAACTAGCCCTTGATGAAGAACTAAATTATTTAAAAGCAATAGCTATTGACAGGGGCTTTTCACCCAACATTATTAATCAAGCAGTTAAAAAATTCTCATCTCAACACACTAAAAGCCACACTCTTATTTTAGGAGATTATAAAAATTCTGTTGTCATTCCCTTCTTTCCATCAATTAGCTATAAAGTTGCACATATTTTGCAGAAATTTAACTTTCGGGTTGTTTATTCTCCCATCAATAAAATTCCAACTTCTATACTCAAGGACCCCATTCCGGATATGAATTCCTGGGGTATTTATAGGATTCCTTGCCAGTGTGGTTTAATTTACATTGGCCAAACTAAGAGAGCCTTAAAATTTCGCGTCAAAGAACATGAGGCATATGTTAGAAAAAAGGAAACACAGAAGTCTTCTGTTGCTCAACATTGTTGGTCCGAAAATCACACTTTCAATTTTTCTGCTGCCAAAATTATTCAAAAAACATCTTCCATTGGAGAACTGGATTTTCTAGAGGCATTTCACATTCATAAAAATCTTTCTGTTCTAGTTAACGATCCTAATTCCAATCCAAATTTGCCTTCGGCTTTTAGAGAAATTATGTTTTAGTTCTGGTTTCATCAACAGATGGCGCCACTTGCTTATTCTTATCCAGGCTTTCTTATCTTATCTAATCATTATTTCCTATCTTGTTCATTTGCGGTTTTGCAGCTGAAGATGATGGTTCGGTAAAACCATCGAACTAGTCCTGTGAAAATTTTGTAGGTATAACGCTGATTTTTGTTGTTTGACTTCTGAATTAGTATTTATTCGGCGTGTTATTGTCTTGATTATTGGATTTTCAGTGATAGCTTTTTTTAATTGCTTCCTCTTTACAAAGGATGGCTGTCCAGAGTGGGTATCATCTTCAAGGCTGAAATTTTCATGCATTAACTTCTCAAACCACTTTTGAACCATGTCATTTCAAACAGCACGCTGCCCATATGCAGCACAAATTTAATGACCAATTTGACTACCACACTTTTTTCCCTTTTTAAATAAAAAAAAATAGCAAGAAAAAGAGCTTTTGGGTTCTAACTTCTTAATACTGCAATTAAACAAAAATTATATCATAACATATACTACAATTGCACAACATGAGAAGGAAAACTGTATGTAAACATCTGTTTTGACCAAGCTTACACCTTATCAGCAGTAACAAGATAAATTAGAAGAAAACACACTTTGATTTGAAAAAACATAGAATTTTCTGTTAAGACCCAACAGTTTCTATGATGTATTAGCCTAATTGAAGTAGCACGCTTTATTCTCTGTTACCTGTTTTAAGCATCTATCTTCGAATTACATATGCATTTTTCTATTTGAAAAATATATTGCATTAATTAATCATGTCCTTTAAGTAAAGACATAATTTGTATGAAATTAAGTTCATGATTTTTGGTGAATTGTTTAAAGAAGAAATAATTTAGGATTTAATAGATAAAACATTTTTTATAATATTTCACAGTGCGATTTTAAAAATATAAAATATTTATTTATTATCACAAGAAACAAGTTCATACCTGTTGGCATAAGTTCTAAAACAAGTCGAGGGTATGCAACATTTGAACATCCAGCGGGATTTTGACAATATGCCATACAAACTTCAGGATCTACACATGCTACTTCATCTAAAAAACAATCAATAAACATATTTGGAAATAACATATGTATTTCTATTTAAAGTACATATTTGTTAAATATAAAAAGATAAATGTCAAGACAAATATCCAAGATTTGGACAAAGACTTTTGTGGTCTAATTTTGCTCATTTTTAATGTTATCAAAATTTAACTTATGATTTATGGAATATAAAACCATTACATTACAACCATAATCAATGCAAGTGAATGAATACAAACTACAATCAGCAAAGCAAAGAATCATTAATGCATTAGCCATCATTCACAACACAATTTACATATACTAACTAGAAGTGCAAGTGACCAAAGTAATAAAACTTGGCTAACCTATTTCTAGAGCATATAACTTTATTCGAACATAAGCATAACATTATGTTTCATTTATGGAAATAAAGGTTTGCCTACTGCAATCATTTTAGATGCAATTAAAGACATTACTTAACATTATCAAACACACATTTTTTTCTTTACTTTGAAATTTGATACTAGTATCAAATAAATATTTTCTGTTAGCTTAAAGAGAGAAATTTAAATAGCAAAATATCAGTTCTTTAGTATGAACAATAATATATAGTGTCTGAGACTTTTATGAAAAACACAGGGTTCGTACACATTTCTGCACATAGAAATTAAGTACTTTTAACCTTTTCGCGATGGCGCACCTTTGTTTAAGACGCTCGTGTGGGACGGAAGGGAATCGAATGCAGTCACCGTACAAGATGGAGGTTTTGCATCGCTAAGCCTAATTTTATAAAAAAAATCAGAAAAAAAAAAAAAAAAAGTTTCACTTCTAGCATTGTAATTTTTGGTATCATTTTAGATTATTACTTGAGTTCTTATATATGTTAAAATTAGCACTTAATAACGTTTTTTTCTTTACTTTACATGAAAATATACTTAAAAATTTCCTTATCTTATAAAATAATTTTCGGAAGCGCTATTCAAATTATTCATGATTCTTTTTCTAAAGTTTTAATGGATAAAATCCATCAATACAGTCTAAAATTAATAAAACAACACAATAAAGCCTATTTACAGTAAGAAATAACAAAATTTAAAATGAAGACTGAGTGTGGCAAATCTCGAAGCACGGAGAAGTATTACTCTCTAACTCTTAGAAAAAGTATCACTTTTTAAATCTTTAGAAAAAGAATCATCACTCTTACCTGCATTAGTTAAATGGTTCATTAACCATATGAGGGTATTCTTCCTCTTATAAATAGCACCTTTGCGCTATAATAGACAAGAGGTGAGACTTCCAGAAATAAAAAGAGAAAAAACGGGAATATATCTGAAGTCAATGCAAAACTGACTGGGCTGTCTAGTAACCCTGAAAGATGGTATATAGTAGAGGAAAAAACAGAATTAAAAAAGGAATTGGATATAAATCAGACATGCGAATATTTACATTACATTAGCACGCAGCAATTTAAAGAGCCCACCTCTGTTTACAATTCGCTCCCCCCCACCCTCGCAACAGTTCATGAGTAAAATACAAAGTCAGACAGAATATATCAAACTCAAGGTCAGAACCTAAAAGGTGTTCATTTCAAAAGTAATGGACATAGAATGCCATCTAGTGACCTTCGGAAAAACATTCCAGCTTAAAATGCGTATATGCATCACCCGTCCTCTGAATGCAGTCTCTAGCGATGTGTGGATGGGACAGCCGGCTGTAAGAGACGTTCTTAGACGTATATGGGATGCCTGCCTTGAAAGGTTAAGGGCCATTAATGAAAAAATTAAGGACCTATCAGCAAATGGAAGCTGAATAAATTCAATTAAATTCAATCAACTTAATGTCTGAACTTCACTTTTGTAATAACACTCTAAGTATAAAATAAATCCACAAGTAAGATGCATTCTTATTAAATGTAATTCAATAATCATAACTATAAAACAAATTTGAAATTTATTAAGTAGCATTAAATATTTTACACATATAATTGTTGGACGTATTTGAAAGAATATTAGGGACATTGAGTTTTACTAACAGTTAGCTTTATGTTGATTTTTCTTTTATGTCTCATTTTGCCACGTAATTAGTCTAGAGGTTTAGTAAATAGTAGGTAGATTTTATGTCAAATAGCATAGGTTAAAATAAGATAAAAATCAGCAAGATTCATAACAGTAGAGTGGCTGTTGCCAGTGCTGCCTAGAGAGGGAACTGTTAATCAGAACAAATCTGAAAGCCTGATGTAGACATGGTTGGCAAGTTTTGAAAATTAGTTGTCCTCTGTCTGTCTGATGAAGTTAGTGTCGTAACTTCGCGAAGAGCTCCTGGGGCTGTAACCCAGTTAATATACTCTTAAGTTCCAATGAGCCACTTAAAGTGCCAAATGTGATAAGTAGTTTTGTATTATTTTACGTCTCATTATATGCAAAGAATAAGTTTTACATTAATTTTTATATTTTTATACTGTATCTAGTGACCACAGTAAGGATTAATGAAAAGCAATAACTCACTTTAATATGTAGAAATAACTTTTAAGGGTGAGCAGTTACAAATAATTAAGTTAGATAGTTAAATACCCTTAGTCATTATAGATTCACATGGCCACTATTAAATTTTACTTATCTTTTAAAAATATTTGTTCAAAAAGCACTAATAAAATCACAAACTAACAACATTTCACAGTTTAAAATACATGCAATTTATGACACAGATTCTTAAACGATATTACGACAATTACAGTTTGAAAGCTATGAGCAACACTCAAAATATTTTTGCCTCTTCTTAATTTGAAACCTTCCCAGATATTTTGGCTAATTTATATTAATTTCCTTCTCTTTAAGCATCTTTTCTAACAATCAGAAATTCACAAACCAGTGTTCCCACTAGTTTCTAAACTTATCTATTGACCTAACTTATCAATCTCTCGACAATGTATCTGTGAGGTTTTACTTCATTTGGTAAAAGTTAAATAGTCCAAAACCCCAGACAGAAATGACACAAATTATCCCCATGCCTGAAAATCAGACAAAAAGATGCCAAAAATATTCCTCCAAAATGCTGATTCACACTCAAAATCACAGTCGTAAAAACAAACATAAAGATGCCAAAAATATCCCTCCAAAATGCTGATTCGCACTCAAAATCACAGTCGTAAAAACAAACAGAAATTTCAGATGATTAATGTTGTCTATCCTTAGTAGGTAATAATTTCACAAGACACTATTAAACTAAATGCTACTTTATTAGACACAAAAGATATCATCCTCGCTTATACATGTATCCTACAACTACTTGCATTCCAGTCTTAGTTCGGGTTTACAACTACTTCGCATGCTTGCGATGGCAAGCGTTAAGTCAGATTATGATTAAGATCTCGAAACACCATATCTTTCCCCCTTTATCACAACTACATTTTACTTGAGGGATGCTGAATTTTACTGGACCGACGCAAAGGTTGTGGCACTGCTGGTTTCATTGGTAACCTGGTTGTATCAGTAGCAGGTTCGGTGAATGGAACCTCTGGTACAACTTTAGGCTTGGAAGACGACACAGACTCATCCACCTAGTGGCTATTATCTTTGGATGGTTCTGGAACTCCATTCTTATCAGGCTCTTTGGGAATAACAAGAGCTGGAGGTGGACATATGCAGCCATCATCAATTATAGTTCCTCCATCATGCACCTGATCAACATGTTGCTGCCATAGCTGACCATCTACATTTATAGTATAATGAAGCTGCCCATCCTTGGATTTGGACAGTTCCAAATCTCCATCGTCTGTCACTTTGATGATAATTTCTTAATGCCACTTTAATGCCAACTCTAAATCCTCAGTCTGCAAGTCTGCAAACTCGTAGGTTCCTTTTCCAACTTTGTCTTCCACCCTACTTTTGAGATCTGGTCTCAATAAACACATTCTTGTTCGAATTTCCCTCTTCAGCATTAGCATTGCAGGGCTCTGTAGAGTAGTTAAATTTTAAATTGAGAGCTTTTCTATATTGCATCAAAAATGCAGAGTTTTTATCTCAAAGTTTGTAGTTTTATGTTTTATTCAGTTACTTTGTAGAAATACCTTAAACTCATGTGAAGTGAATTGTGGCCTGTTATCACTCACTCACAATAGTATTGGTAATCCGAATCGTGCACAAAAGTCCCGTAAACATTCTATTGTTTTGAAAGTCTAGCTTGATTTCCTTGGATAGGTTTATAGCCATTTTGAGTGAGCATAGACAATTATAAAAAACATATGCTCAAAAATAAGTCCTGCATCGATATGAATACGTTCCATTTTCTCAGTGTTGTTTTTAACGCATTACAATCTTTATTGGAAGGATTATCAGGAGCCAGCAAGTTTTTTAACAGACTATACATTTTTCCAGACAAACTGAAAATCGGTACTTTCCGCAGCTTGTCTTGCGAAACATTTTGTATATCTACATAACTTTCGAATCTTTCCAAAAAAGAATCATTGTTCTTCGTGTTCATTATACAAGGACATTATTATTATTATTATTATACAATTATTAAGGACCTTCTGCAGATTTTGGCCAAAACTAAGGACTTTTACAGACCAAAAATCTATTCCAAAAGACCTAAGGACTTTTCTGGACTCTTAATGACCGTAAGATCCCTGTTAACCCCACATTTCAATACATGTATAAAGGTAAGAAACTATCAATAAATCTGCAAAAATGCTGCCAGTGGGATTTATCTACAATTAAACAGTTCAATTTTTATAATAAATTTGAGTTATCTAGTAAGTCAAGAAATAAGAATCAGCTATAATAAACATGATTTGCTAGGAGTTCTAGTTGTAACATAGAATCTTGCTTGGTGTAACAATAAAACCATGAAATTGAGTAAGTTTAAACTCTACATATTTAATCTTGCATTCAAAGTGAAAACAGAAGCTATATCACTAAAACATATTATTGATAAGGTCTAACAAATGGTGTTAGCTTGATTCGAGCAAAACAGTGTTAGATAAAATATTTACTGAAGGCAAATAACATTTAACAAATATTATTTACACAAATCTTCTCTTAACAGACCAAAAGAAAAATACACTGGAAATTTGAATATAAAACACAAACAAAATAGATATATACAGAACAGATAGAGTTTTATTTTAAGATAAAAAATATTTTAACATGCTTAGATTTTGACTTCCATTTTACAATAAGTACTATTAAAACTAAATTCGCATGCAATATTGCCAAGAAGTAAAGTGACACTTTTGCAATGGTGGCACAGCACAAGACAAGAACACTGGACCAAGTGCATAATTGGTTAATCCATTATTCAATAATTTATTTCCCACTTATAAATTATAAAATAAGGCCACTTATAAGGTTATAAAATTTCACTTTAACAAGTAACATCCATATTTATTTTATCTTTGTTTATGATTCTTTTTTCTTGGTTTAAAAAGGTATATGAGATATAAATAATGAAACAAAATGTTAAGATCTGAAGCAAATAAAGTTAAAATGTTCTGAACAGTGAAAAAGCATCGGTATACAAATGGTTCAAGTCAAAATGCTTTTAAAAAAACTATTATCATGACATTTTACCTGACAAAACTTTGATATTTTCTCATTACATCTTGCATAGAGAGTATAGTAAAAATCATATTTATGAGGTTTAAATAAATTCTTAGAAAAACAAACTTGTGAAAAAATTTTATTGCTGAGTTTGTGCATTTCCCATTTTTACTCTCTAATACAATATGAAATTACCTCATTCCTATTTTTCTCAAGTTGAATAATCAACCTCTATTATTGGTGTAACACATAAAACATAAAAACATCTATATTTTGCATAATGACACTTATTGTCTTTTTTTTTTTTTTTTTAGGAGTGTCATGAGACACCCCCTAAAAAAAAAGAGCTCTCCAAGCACTAGATTTTTTATCAGTTTCTTTGCTATGAATAATTTTTCTGCTGTTTCATAACAAAGGCAACAATTATTCTTTGCAGTATCACTGAATTTTTAAAAATTTGCCTAAGAAATAATTAAAATAGGAAAAGATGACCCTAGTACACTAAGAAATAAAAAAATCTTGTACCATAAGTACATTATTTATGCACACGGATAGGGTTAACAACTAATTTTTTTTTTTTTTTTTTTTTTTCATTTGTCTTCCAAATCCCTCCAATGAAAAGGAAGACAACAAGATATCAAACTGAGGCACTAAATAAGCTTTGGGCATTAACATGATGGGTAAGTAGATAAAGTATGATCTCATAAAACTTAACTGTATACCTGTGAAAAGGACTCTGCTTATCATTCCTGGCATAACAATCAGAAAAATAGGTAGAATTTTCATGAATCCAGCAAACAATGTTCCTCCTTGAGCATGAGATAATGATTTAGCTGCCAAAAGTCGTTGAACCATCATCTAAGAAGCAGAAGATATTTCCAATGTGTTAATATTAAATTTCATAATACAGTAACAACATCCGAAATGATCTAAACTCTGGACCTGCAAAGACCATCAGCAACCAGACCCAATTCTTAATTTCACTTTGGCACTAAATACGATATCTCTCTATTAAAGAAACAATCATTTAGTAGCATAAATCTGTATGATCACTAATTTGGTTCTGTGGCTACCTTTTTGCTTAGCTTAACATCTCAAACCATGACATCCCACAACGAAATATCATTTATATATTATATAAATGATTCAGTAGGATATAAATTATTCAGTTGGTGTAAAACTTACTCAATAATTTATATCTCTGACACCAAATTAGTAGTTTAAATCTCCATATGATTATGAACACACAGCAGCCTGAGAAATGACTCAGCCAATGATGTCTGAACAATTTAAAAAATAAATAAATAAAAAAGGAAAGATTTTAGATTTTACATTGTGCCCAAAGGGGCCTTTTTTTTAATGTTTTGTGTGTTATGCTTATTTAATAAATATCATGTTCTTTGCACTTAAACCATCAAATTCAACTCGACAGCAATATCGCAAAACAATTTTAAAATGAGCATACCTTTAGAATTTCCGATACACAGTCTCACACACTGAAGATAATTTTTTTTCTCCCAAATACAATGTTGCCATTGCTTGCTTTGAAATCATTGAGTTTGTTAATCAAAAAATCATTAATGTGTTACAAAATAGGAAATTGATAATAAAACAAATTCCAAATTAGGGCTTCTAGATGCCCATAATCGGTGGAGGATTACGTTATTCAAAATTTGACAGCTTTAGGTACCCCTATTTTATCACAATGTGAGAAACATACACATATTTATGCAGATTCTTGATTATTTAATCCCTTTAAATATAACACAGGGTGATAATAGTTGGCGGCAACAATTTGGAAAGTGAAACGAAAAGTTTTCGAAGCAAAATGCCAAAACGAAATTAATAGCGCTTTTGGGCTAAAAATATTAGTAAATAAATACCTAACTGTATTATAACCTTTTATGATGACATTACACTCGGAGATAATTACAGACTTCAGCTAACTACACTGCAAAGTGTTGTTAAGTGTGTTGAGGTGGAGAAATTTAGCAGAAATTTCTTTGCTCATGCAAAATACAAATTTTATAAATGATACTCATAGGCTAAAAGATTCTATTTTATGCTGCTGCAAATGAGAGTTACTAATTTGCCTTTATTTTATGCTGTTGTAAATGACAATTACTAATTTGTTATCTAGATAAGCACATGCACAGTGCCAGAGGTGGTGTGGCCGATTTAGGGAGAGAAAAAATTTTTAGAATTTAAAGAAGTATTGAGCAACAAAATCAAGGAGGTGGCAAAATTTTTAGGAAAGCACTTGACAGCAGAATTTAGGACACACAGAGAATACACCGGACTGCACAATGAATGTACAGCACCAGCTCTAGATAAGCCTCAAGCCAATGTGAGAATTTATTTATTCAGGACACAGATGAGCCTTAAGCATGTACACAAAATAGGTGTAAGTATAATAAATCAATAAACTAATAAACTAATATAACTCAGACTTAATTTTGTCAGCATGCAATAGAATACACATGATTTATCAGAACAATAATGTCTTCAGTCACCAATCTCATGATACACTGCCAACAGTGTAGAGCAGATAAATAGCTAAGCTTTATGATGATAACCACAAATTTTAAGGTTTTCAAATATCCCAAACAAAATGCAAAATTTTCCAATTAATAAAATTTGTAAAGACATGTGGAGACGTGATAATAAATAAAGATGATTTAACAGAAGTTTTTCATTGCAATGGCTATGCCCCAATCATCAGTCAACTAATGGATGGTGAAATCTGTAGGTTCTAAATCTAGAAAGTATTGCTATTAACAGTGAAGAAACTGACAGAGCTAGCTGAGAATGAAAAAAAAATTTCAACTGTCAATTTAGTAGGAATTTTCAGCACATCAATAACAGGACTTGAAGAATGGAACTTTGAATAAGAAATTATATCTATACATAAAATAAAAGAGAAAGTATTAGCACACAAAACAAAGCAACTTAAACAGCTTACACTGAAAAAATATTTAATAAAACATTAATAAAAAAAATAAATACTGAGCATTTCTGCCCCTTTTCTGAAAAATTTTGACTCATTTAAGGTCACAAATGACCAAAATCTAGAATTGTGGAAGTCCAATGAGTCTCGATCTCAGATTTTTTACTGTAATTCAGAAAATTCACTATTTAAGAAAACGAGTATGTTATAAATAGTTAAGTTTCACTTTTATCAACAGCTATGCTTCTAAAATGAAAAGAAGAAGACTCAGAATTAAAACATCATTCTTTGACTATTCATGCATTTCACCATAAATACTCATCACATTAATAATAGTGTTGGAAAGGAATACCTAAATTTACAAACATTAAAGAAACAGGCTACGATTTTTTGCAAATAACATAGAATTTACTGAGTATAACAGACAGATCTGTATGCTATTTATGAACATGGAAGCTTTTCGTAACTAAATACGAAGTTTTCATATTACATATAACCAATATACATAATAAATTATCACACTTTTAATAGGGTTAATTGATGAATTTGATATGATAGTAAGTATGAATGAAAATCATATTTCCATGGAATGTATAGTCAAAGTCTGCTGTTAATAGATTTTTTTTTGCTTCTTAGATCAGCAGCAACAATGAAATGAGAAAATAAACAAACAAACTCAGGAAATGTGTTACTTGTTTAAAAAATGTTAACACTCTTGTTACTGCTGTCAGATTCATAAAGGAGTCTACACATTTACTTTTGTTTCAGAGTTGGTTATACAAAACTAATTAAATAAATTATAAAATCTGAACGTTCAACATTATTATTTATAATTCATAATATATTTTTAGTATGCAGTAAAACTATGCAAATTAATTAAGAAAACATTATTCTTAAAATATTTGCATCCTTAGAACAGAATGATCTTTTGTAATAGGAGTAGGACAGAACAGTGCAGAATTAAGCTTTTAAAATAGGATATTATACATTAAAAAATGTTTGTTTCCAACAGAATTACTCACATTAACAACATAATTTTAAGTTTTGATATAGTACTCAAACATTGTAAGTATGAACTTTTGTATGTATTCACTTTTTGGGTGTCATTGTACTGTTTAATACATATTTGCAAGCAATTTAATATTTGCTAATGTGCTTCTGAATTTTACAATATATTACTGGATAAATATGAAATTTTAAAAGTAATCAAGAGTGGCTTTTGAAAATTATTATCATATTAATAAATACTTCCTATTCTATTTCCCGTCAGCACACGCACTGGGGTAAAATCCACCCCACGTATAGTCTTTTCTTAGAAAATAAGGGAAGGTCGTACGTGATCTTTCTAGTACTTTATGTACCTTTCAAGATCAAGGTTAGGAAGTGGTCGTTCAGAGGAATTTTTCCCGTGTCCTTGGGATTTTTGTGTTTTTGGGGAAGGCATGTGCAAGGGATTGTAGCTACCCCGTGTGTGTACTAACGTTTCACTTCTAGGGAGACGTTCATTGAGATAAGTGTGTACGAGAGAGAACAGTAACGACTGTGGGGTTCTTCTCGCTAATGTTGAAACTGATAGCAAAATTGAAGATTCCGCTTCTGAGTGCGATAATATTTCTGAAAGTGCTCAATCAGTTGAGCACTTCAAAAAAGTGCTCAACTGATTCTGACCAGTATTATGATGATTCACATGATCTTTGACATCAGATGATTTTTATGTTTGAATAGATGGAACAATATGAAGTAAAAAATTACTCTCGAAAAACGTTCGGACACGGCCACACAATATAGTGTCAAGAAAAGCTTTAGAAATTTGAAAAATCCAACTGTTTATTGCAAATTTTTTATGAATAAATAATGGAAGATTTGGTGAAATCAACAAACATTTACATTTCATCAATCACCAATAAGAAACAAATTCTCTAGACAATGTGATGCACAAGAGACAAACGTAGCTGAATTGAAGGCGTTGTTTTCCCTATTATATTACACAGTTTGTAAAAATATGTACTTGTAAAAATATGTTGTCACACTATGTGAGGATTGTTCAATCTGAGGAGATTATTTGAATTATAAACTCAGGTGGGAGGGGGGGGGCGGAAAAAACTATGTGTTATTTATATTTTTTAATATTCTTAATTAGAATCTATTCTTTGATATGATTAATTGTATGACATTATATTGAGTTTTAAGGAAAAAGCTAGTAAGAATGCAGCCTTTTCATATTCCTCTAGTACTTTATCAAACAACTCTTTATAATAAACACTTATGTTTAAAAAATATGTATATATGAAAACGGATTTTTCTAATATAAAAGAATCACATATGTATTTTATATAAGTTAGTAATTTTGCATAAATTTCGATTTTTATGGCTTACTTTAGGTAACCAGTATGGAAATGTTTGTATAACTTAAAGTAAGATTATCTCGAATTAAAACTGGAGAAAAGGTTTAACATTCACAAAGCTATTAGTCATTTATACATTCATTGAAAACAAAGAAAATGCATTTATTTATATTATACGTTGCGGGGTGAACTCAGAAAAACATATCCTGGGGTAAAATTTGTCCTGGGCGTGTACTAACATAGTGCAGTGATGCACGTGTGCTGAAGGGTTAATATCTATTCATAGCAAATAGCATGAAGAAAACTAATTCTATTAGATTTTTAGTGCCATTTCATTTTTCTCTGCATTGTCATAAAAATTCATATCTGACAAGTGTGATGATTCTTAAATTTTAGAATTCTGTTGAAAATGACATTACTTGCATAAATTGCTCATTAAAAATGTATATAAATAATACTGTCCAAGCTATCTTTAAAAACAAATTATGTACACCAACTTACTTAAGAATATTATATATATATATATATAACAACAACAACTTACTTGATCAGTACACCAGTACCATATAGACGCTGGAGTTTGACCAATGAGAAAACCAAGCCATGGCATATCTGGATCATCCCAAGATCGCAAAATCATCCAGGCATCTTCTTTTGGAATGCCACAATCTGTTCCATGGATTCTTTGTGATGGTATTGCTTGCATATATTTTTCCTGCAATCCTGATATGCCACCCACCTGTATAAAAGCTGCAATATATATTCAAATTAGCAGTCATTTAGCAATATTTTTTTCAGACAGAAATAATAGTGAACTTAGTTTTACTTATTAACTTAGTTTAAGTTAACAAGATAATTTATAACAATTAAAATAAATAAATTGCTGATTTATATTAATTACAAAATATAAAAATATTCTAACTTAACTTGCATACAATGCTTTTAGAAAACAATTTTTTACAGATATGGCAAAATATAAACTTTTGAAATCTGCATGTAAAAATATAAAATTACACCATTTGAAACTTTAAAACTTAATGATACTGCATGATGCTAAATTATATGCTCTTAAAGATACAAACATTTCATAGCATTTTATTTATCAAATTTGATATGCAAAGTTAAATTATACTGTAGAACAAAAAAGTTAACCTACTTAAAAGTTCATTCTATCATTTTTCATATCATAGCAAATAGCATAATTAAAAAAACTCATAGCATGGATATAATTATTATAATATTACATATTAATTTACATATAATAATTTTACTCATGAATTAAACTGCCAGTTGTTGATCTTAAGAAACTAAGGAGGGAAAAATGCAGCTTTTTTTTTTCCCCCACATATCAAAACATAAATGGATTCAAATGAGTTTTAAAGTATTATTATGTTTTGAAATGGAGGAGGGGAAAAAAAAAGAACACATACCTTTTACAGCAACAATAGCAGCTCCTGTAATCATAACAAAAAACTGAAGCGTGTCGGTATATATAACTGCAGCTAATCCACCTAAAGAACATAAAGTATTTTGTTATATTTAGTTAGCCAGAAATTAATTTTAAGTACAAGAAGTTCAAAGCTATATGAATATGCTCTCTGTTAATACAAGATTATAAGAGAATGTGAGTTGGAACTTTTTTTTTAACATTTAATGCACAGTTCTAAAACCAACTTTTAATGACAGTTTACAGAATATGACAAGAACCCCCCATTAAATTACACAAAAATATATCTATTTACAAATTTAAAATCAAATAACATTACAGCATTTTGAAGATATACGAGAGCTTGAAAACCAGTAAGTTTTTAAGTACATATGGCTCATTCAATTTTTATTTTTTGGGAATAAAATGTATGCATTGTCATTAAATGAAGAGTTTTTACAATACACGCACACGCACACACACGACAATCTAACATGGCAGAGTTTCTTACACTTTTTTCAATCGCGACCCCCAGGACCCCATAATATTTACAAAAATTTTGTGGGACCCCGTAAGTATTGCGTAAATCCAACACACGCGTGAGTGAAACTGTCAATTTTTTAACTTGTACTGTAATAGACTATTGCAGTTTTAGGTCATTTAACTTTTAGGTCAATAACTAAAGACATTAACAATGTGAAAATTTTAAATAAATAACAGAAAAAATGGCAGCATCACGTGCAAAGCAAATAAAAATAAAAGTTTATATTATAAAAAAAGCTTCAAAGCATTTTCGTTTTTCTTTGTCTGTATTATTTTATCTTTATCTATTTTTAGATACATTGTGTAAAAATATTTGGTAACTGTAAAAATATTATAAGTTAAAGAAATATCAAAACTACTAAAATTTTTCGCGACTCCCCATCCTTAGTTCAAGAAACCCTGTCACATGGGACCTCATACAATGCTAGAACAACCTTTTCACCCTGACCTTCAAGTTATCCATATGCACTAAACTGGCTGTGGTTGTTTGATTTCTCCATGCTGCAATTTGATGACTTCTTGCCATAACCCCAGTATTTTTCTTAGCATACCAGTCAAACTTTCGCAAACAACTATAGTAAATGACTATAGTACAACTATAGTAAATGACTATAGAATGAAATGAGGAATAAATTTGTGAGCATAATATGTTTCTTCTTGATTTTGACTTGAAATCATAACCTTTTTCGTTTTTATATGATGCTGAATTTTATTCAAGTTTTTTATAAAATGTTTTTATGTACATAAATTAAAAAAATCTGATGTGTACACCACATGACTTCCTTGAGCAGAATATTAAATTATACGTAATTTTCCTCCACTTCATTCAAATATACTGAATTAACAATTAACGAATTTTGAATTAAATCTACTTAGTCAATAACGCATAAACCACAATAAAATAAATGCACTCTTTAAAGTTCACTGTATTTATTTACCATAGCGACAATTCAGCACTAGGTTCACTTAACAGCATTACATCTCATTCATTTTATAACTCAGAGTGCACAAAATTTGTATCATCTAAAGAATTACCACACGTTCTATTAAAATACTACAATAAATCTAAAACAATGTATAAAAGTAATTAAACAAATAAATATTTTCATTAAAAACTGAAAGATATAGAAAAACATAAAACACCAAGTACAGTTAAAGCAATTAAAAAATTTATAATTAAAATTACAGTTTCTATGCAAAAACAAGCTAAAAAACTGAAAGATATAGAAAAACATAAAACACCAAGTACAGTTAAAGCAATTAAAAAATTTATAATTAAAATTACAGTTTCTACGCAAAAACAAGCTAATAATTTATATGATAATTCCAGAATGAATTAAGCATAATTCACAATAATAAAAGAAGACATTACTTTCTTGTTACGAAGCTTAGTTTCTCCAGATTGGCAACAAATCTACGACTCTGCAAACTTTCAAATGTAAACAAATATAGCTGCCATGCTAAAGAAAAATTAGGCTTAGCTGAACTTGAAACACTTTTAAACTGTTGATAATTCCACAGTTATTGCATGCAGGTTAAATAAAGGCAAAAAACCCTTAACTAGGAGATAAGAACAACATAATTCAATCATTTTTAAAGCAAAAAATGCACAATTTACATACATATAAGAATAACGAAACTGAGCTCACTGAGCCAAGTAACAGAGTGGATATATATATATACATATATTTATATACTTTTGGTGCAACAGATTCCAACCAAAATGAGTGGCGGAACACATGCAATAGGCGCACATCTACATGCTATAGCAGTCCTATATACAAAATTTCAACATTCACAGGCTATTCGTTTTTCAGTTGTGCAAGATACGTATGTATGTATGTTCAGACGCCACAAAATAATCTTTTCAGAATTATTTTAAATCAGTTTTATAATGCTGTTGGGGGAAAAAAAGCCCTTTATTCTGTCCTTATGTACGTACATCACGCAAAAACATCATTAAATCGCATTCGATAGCAGTCTAAATGGAGATTTTTGTTGAAATATGATACTTGAAATTTTTCATGATTACAATACTCCCTTTTTACTTCGTTACACCATAAAAGGCAGGTTTCTTTTTTCTTTCTTTCTTTCTTCTTCTTCTTCTTTTTTTTTTTTTTTTTTTTTTTTTTTTTTTAAAGAACCGAATCCTTGTTTTTGTATTAAGTTGGCATCTCTTATAATGCAATGTCCCACAACACGGTATTTTCGAAGAACGTAACTACCAAGTTGTAGGGGGCCTCCGGTATCATAATTTAGGACAAAACGGTTAGATCAATAAGATCACTTTCAAAAAGCTTCCATTGATAAAAATAGCAAATGTGTGGGTAATATTTTCATGTAAACATGAGTGTTCTGATTCTGCATTTTGTAAAATATACAGAAAAACTGTACATGATGGAAGATAAATAATGCAAATGTAATGTCAACACAAGTTAGAATAAAAACTGAGCATTAATTGCTGAAAACACAGAGATTAGTTCCAGTTTCAGATTTTTATCATAAGCAATATTGTATATAAAGTCATATTTGCTATAGATATGAAGAACTACACTCTTCTCTACCACAGACATTTTTCATTTAACATACATATTTTGCTTTTTAGAGTGAAACATAATAACGAATAAAATGAAAAGGTGCGAGGAAAGCATTTAAAGAATTTCAAATAAAGTAGAAATGTAAACTATGTAAAAACTAGGTCCTAACTATGTAAACTATGTAAACTCATATTTTATGTGAGAATAATAGATAATTACCAGTTACTGTACAAATGCCAGTCATGAGTAATAGTCCCAAGATTGCAACATAGAGATCCCATTGAAGAGCTTGATTGATAAAAACTGCTCCTGAAAACAAGTTGACCTGGGGAAATCATAAAATTTTGTTTAATTTTTAAATGAAAATTATGAATTTATAATGTAAATTTTATTTAGAGCAAAGGATGTTCTAAACATTTCTCTAAATAACAGTTACATAATTTATGGACAATTTTAATAGAAAAAAATTAATTAAATATTGAATAAAATTAAAACTATCCATCATTTCTAAAAATATGCACATACAGCTTCCCAGAAGAAATGCTTAAAAGTGCATGTATGTGAAAAGCAGAATTAAGTCTCGTAGACAAAAATACATGCAAAAAATGTGTACTACGGTAGTCAGGTTAATGGCAATTAAATGATGTAATAAAAATTGTGTAACCCACACTAAATATAGCTGAAATTCCATTAGACATAATTAGTTAAAAAAGAAAAGAAAAAGATGAATTATTCGCATACCACTAAAATGTTTAAAAATCTTAAAATTATGACAAATTCTAAAATACTTCAGATAACTGCAGTGACAAAATTTCATACAGTGGGCTTTTCCCATTTGAGGTATTATAAAATGAGATTAAAGTAAGCATTCTAAAATCTTTTATGAATATATGTAGTCCTATAAAATTTTTGAATCAGCAATTTGTTAAGAAATACAATACCCAATAAATTACAAATTTAAATTTTTTCCCTGATAATATACACTTAATTAATATACACTTAATTCTTCACTTAAATCAATATCAGTATTAAAAATGCTATTAAGATCTATCATTTAAAAAAATCCCAGAGGTTAGTAGAATTTGCATTATTCGATTGGAATTAAAATGATTTTCAGTTGTGAATTCCTTTTGAATACAAACATTTAGAGCTTAAATTTTAAAGCTTATCACGTTTTTAGGAGCCCCTTTAATATTAGACATTTTTAGAATGCAAGAGGTAAGTTGCACAATTTTCCAAAAATTGTTTTCATGCAGAAATATTAAGAGCAAAAAGGATCACTATAAGCACACTTAAAAATTCATGCAACAATTTTACAAAGTGTTTTTGTATCTGTATTATACAGCCAATTCTATACTAACACATCAATTCTTAAAACAAATGAATGGGATGCAGAATTTTATCATTTGTGTGTTAACTTTTATTGTGTTAAGTGAACACCTGTGATAGATTTAAGGATCAGAAAACATCACTGTATATAACAATGGTGAGATCAGCTTATATTGGCAGAATTTATTTTTTGCATATTAATATAACAAAATGTATTTTAACACCAAATCATAAAGAAAAAAACTTTTTACATTCCAATATATTTTATCTTATAGAATTGTTCATTAGTTTATTTTAATGTCAAACAAGTTTTACCATCTTCATCCGGTTTGTGAGCAATACGTTTTAAAATGCTTGAGTGTATGTTAGAAAATTTTAAAAAACTTTTTAAAGAAATATGCTAAGTTCTGATAATAGATTAAGATAAAAGATACACAATAAAACCAAGTATATGCTAATAAGTTGAAATTGCTCCATAGAGACTGGATATTTAAACAGAGTATTTAGTGTACGATTGGCTTTAAATTTACATGGTCAAATTTAAAAAATACTAAAATTACATAATTTGAGTATCCGTGAAACCATAATCAATTATATTAGCCATAAAATTAAAATGAAAGTAGCATTTTTTTGCAAGCCACAAAAATTTTAAATGAAACACAGAAAGTGTATGCACCGTAACAGGTAAAATCTGTAAAAAATTTGCTGAGAACCAACACCAAAGTTGAACTGTTCACATTTATGTCACTCCCACTGAAACTTAAGCAGAAAGTTGAGTAACATATAGTACATGGCACAATGATAATGCAAAGCATTAAAATCAGACAAAAATATATTATAAAGAAAGTACACATAAAAATAAATCTGCAATCTACGCATATTATAAATATATAAACAAATCCTCTTTTTTTAAAACAGGGATTGCTTAGCCAGCCTAACTTAAATTAGTCTAACTATTACTGCTATATTAAATTTGCTATGTTTGCTTCTTACAAATAATATTATGAAAATAGTTATATGAAGCTTAAGATATTTTTTAGCATTTTAAACTCATTAATATGATTGAATAAAAATATTTGTAATGTATAAGAAAATATTTAAAAATAATTCAAGCAGATCAAACACCTATTTATTATTAAAGCAAAACTAATTTAGCCACCTTAATGTTTTTAATAAAAGGCAAAGAATAAAAAGAGTGAGGCACAGCCTTTTAATATCAAATGAAGTTAAAATATTTTCTATTTTATAATGATCAAGGTAGTCCAACACAAAACATGGCCCAAACCACAAACCTACAAGAAAGAAATACATAAAAACATCCAAAATTATTTTTCAAAATGTATCATAAGAACAAATGCAACTTTAAGAAAATACTAATATGGTGATCACTTTTCAACCGCTTAACGTGATCAATGGAAAAAAAATTCCAAACAACGACTTATTACAGCTTAAAACTATCACAGTTAAAAAAATAAATAAAAATAAAAGTACCATGCTAATTAATTTCTTAGTTCATTTTAAGGCTATCACTTTATGCAATATAATAATAGCATAATTTATGCATATATATACTAGCCATTCCATTTAACTATTATTTTATGACATCTCATCATGAGAACAGACTTTCCACAACTTAAGAAAAGGTTAAAATTGTTCTAAAAAAATTCTAAGGTATATACAGAGTATTTAAAAAAACATTGCAATTTCATCTTTTGAATCATTGATGATACAGCCATATATTCAATTGAAAGTTCTTAAAAAGTTTCTTAAATTGTTAAAGGGAACAAATTTGATCAACTTCAATACTACTACAAAAAGTATCTTTTAAAGCAGTTCCCAATAATGAAAATGTTTAGATACTCCAAAAATCTTCACAAACTCTTGCATCAGTTAAGAACAGAAACAGAAATTATGATCGCAAATTTCAGAATGATATGCATTTACATATACGATAGGTATTATTAAATGATATGCATACACATGAAAAATTTAAAGGTCATAAAAATTATACACACTTATTTCAACAGTAACTTCTTACAAGCTCTTTTTAGTTTAAGAAATTGATAAGATGGACTTACACAAGTTTAAACCTTAAATTTTTGGTGGTTCTCTCTTCACAGTGCTTAATTACAATTAAGTACTGTAAGTATTACATTATGTATGTGTTAAACAATTTTTGATTTACAAAATATTTTACTGTAATGTACTTTTCTCTCAAGGATGCAAGAAATAAAACAGAATGTACTAATTTTGCATAAGAAAGATCTGGTCATTTTAATCATAACTTAATCTTTTAAAACATTTATAGTATTTTTACAACTGAGGTGTGTGTTTACATCAACAGTTCAAAAGATAAAGCTACAGTTATTCTTTTAAATATCCTGTATGATTAGTATTATATGTGTGATATATAAATGTTTATTACTTTTGTTCCATACACTATGTTTTTTGAATTTGTGATTATATTCAATAAATATGATGGACAGCTTACATTCAGCAGCCAATTGTGTAACTAATTAATAATCATAAAATTACTCAGGAATATATTTAATGTTTTCAAAAAATGTTTCCATTTCTATATGTGTCATGGTAATATCAGCATTATTACAATTTACATATAAAAAGTTTACTCTTTTACTAAATGGTATTAATTCAATTGGACCAATGAAAATATGTAGCAGTATTTAAAATTACATTCAATATTAGATATTACATGTCTAGAAAATAAAGAGCAATTAAGATGGCTAATTTCCTTTGTGAATTAAAGAAACATATAAAAATTTTACTTGGTACAACTTAAAGTAGAAAAATAAAAACTAAAATTTGATTTTAATTGATCATGTCCGGCAAGCTATTTGTATTCACGACATACATATCAGAAGGAACATTCATATACTTACTGTAATTTTAATGGGAAAATTATAATTGTACCTTCCTTAAAATAGTAAATTATTTAAATGATTATCAGATTTTTGAAAAACTAAACATTAAACTCATCGTAAAGTAAGTTTCTTATAATTTCTTTTTTTATTCTGTTTCAATTCCTATTTATCATACAGAATTTTAAACATTATGGAATATTTCACTTTATTGCTTAAAAATTAGAGAAATATGCTTAAAAAACTTTTATACCCCTGCATATACATATATGTATATATATGGAGCTGTGCAATTTATAAGCCACTTAATGCTATAAAGTTTTATAAATTAGTAATGATCACATTAAGCGGCTACTGTATCATTAAAAATTAAACTTAACACACTGAAACTTGCATATTTATAGCAAATGCCTGCAGTAGTGAAAAAAAATTAAAGTTCAACGTTGTTTAAAGCAGTGGTTTTTCTTATGCTGAAATATTTTAAGTTTTTAAAATTATGTAAAATAATAAAAAAATTACCTTTAAAGAAAACAGTGCTTAGTTAATAAATTCAAACTAAACACTTATAATATTCTAAATACTTTGAAAAAAATAAGCAAAAAAACTGATTTACATATAAAATATTTTGGAAAACATGCAAACTTTAACTGAATATATCTAATCCTTTAATAAAAGGAAAATAAAAATAAGAATAAATAATAATTCATAAATGACATAATGTGATTCTGCCCAAACTTTTAGAAATACGCATTAAACAGAATTTTAAATAAAAAGATTGAATAATGACTGAGTAACAGATCTAAAGAATTGCTAATATTCTCTAGTAGATTCCTAAAAAGTCCCCTTCTCCATAATTTTTATTAAATTAATTTAAAAATTTGCATTATTCAATGGTATAAAATAATGGCCACACCCCACAGACAGCATCTTGGTATTTTGTACCATCAGTACCAGCATACTGCATGCTATGTAGTCCTCATGAGTTAGTCATTTGATGCTTTTATCAAATCAGCTCTATTCTACTCACTACTACATACACTGATACCTAAAATTACCTTCACATGCATAAAAAATAACCTGGCACATGAAGTAAGCAATCAATTTTATTTTTTTCATG